TTGGTCAAACCTCTCTGTTTTCTGCTTTCAAATGACAGACTGAGGCTGGCAAATGAGATCTCAGACACAGAATGCAAAATAATAAAAATCAGAGACAAAAATCTGATTTACAAAGTAAAGCTAGAAAATGAAGCTAAATTATCCATAATCACAAATAATTACAAAAATAACAAATATCTAGAAGAGAAAAATGCAACCATTTAAAATGGTAATAATATTTGCAGTTGTCTAAATCTGTTTAGATTCATCTTCTGTAATTACAGCCCAATTAGTTAGTGGAAGTTAATTGATCTAACATAAACTATTGAAGGACAAGAGATTAATACAGATGGTAATTTTTCTTTTACACTTCAAGCGGATCTCCATTTCATCCCTTTAATGTACATTAAAGCTAAGAAGGATGTGTCTACTGAGGCGTCAGCCATCATTAAGCACTTGTTCCCTGTGAAATAATGCCTGTTTCCTTTCCACCTACAGGCAAGGAACCACATTATTATCTAGAAGAGAGCAGACTGCGGTTAATGATGTAATCCTCGAGTTCAGGGCAATGGTGTACATTAGAAGAATTTATTCAAAATTTCCTTTTTTCCCTTTGAGACACCATCATCATAGTCCAAATGTCTAGAGGAATGACACTTTACTGTAGAAATAAAATCCTAAACCCTATGCCAAACTATCGTGAGCATGTGCTACTCCCAGGTTGTCAAGTGATTCTGGCACTCAAACGAGTTATGCAAGGTAGGCACGAAGGCATCATGTTAAACCTTTATTTCCTTCAGGTGTGCATTTCCCTCAGCTCACCTGGCGAAAGGGTGCTTTGCTGCAAAGGTAGCTCTTTCATCTAGAAAAGAGGTGAGAATCTGAAGCACCAAGCAAGTAATGAACTACTATATGCCACTTTATTTCAGATGAGGCAAGTTAAAGATTTAGCCATAGGATTTACACAACTGTCTGGAAGGGGTTGGAAATCCCATGATCTAAGGTACATTTACTTAGGGAGAGGATGGGCATCCTAAAGAAGCAGGCTCAGGCCTGGTGCCCATAGCACAGTGGTTATGGGGCCAGCCACATACATCCAGGTTGGTGAGTTCAAACCCAGCCCAGGCCAACTAATTAACAATGACAATTGCAACAACAGCAACAACAAAAAAGAAAGAAAGAAATAGCCGGGCAATGTGGTAAGCACCTGTAGTCTCAGCTACTTGGGAGGCCGAGGCAAGAGAATCACTTAAGCACCAGAGCCTGAGGTTGCTGAGAGCTGTGACGCTGTGGCACTCTACCTTAGGTGACATAGTCACTATGTCAAACAAGAAGCAGGCCCAAGAGCCGCTGGAGTTCTTCCAGCCTGAACAGGTAGCACAGTGGGGCTTGAGCATGAGAGGGAAGGCAGTGCTAAAGCCAGGGGGGTTTGTTTGTTTGTTTGTTTTAACATTCCAGATAGTAACATTTCCAATTGCAATTTGATCTTTGGATTTGTAATGGGAGATTTGTCCGTTGATGAGAATTGAATGGATCAACCACTAACATTCCTTCCAACTCTAGGACAGTAGAATCCTTGACTCATTCACTCAATAATCGAAGCGCCTATGTATCACCACACGAAGTAATTTTCAATAAATGTGCTTTCTACACAACAGCTGCCATGTTTGTGAGGACTTCAATCCAGCAGCAATTTGGAATCCCGTTTTACTACAACACTTTTGGGGTAAAAAGTATGGCCATGCCTGAAGGTTCAGCATGCACCCTGGGTTAAGGGCCCAACTACAACTTGAACGTTACTTTAGAATTAAAAACAATGTAACCTAAAAATTTGTACCCTCATATTAATTTGAAATAAAAAAAGAAAGTATCATCATGCCTATGACTTACATAATGGAGCCTGAACTTGCACTCCTCTTCAATTTCATCTGCACTGTCTTCATCGGAAACTTCCCCTTCCTCTGCGTCATCCCCAAGGTGATAAGGCAACTTCTTGCCCTGAAATGGAACAAAACAGCCCATTTAAAAATAAAAACAAATTCGCAATAGTCAAAAGGTGGAAGTAGCCCAAGTATCCATTGATGGATGAACAGATAAACAAACTGTGGTGCATATACGAAGGAATATTATTTAGCCTTTAAAAAGAATGAAATTCTGATCCATGTCACAGCATGGATGGATGAACTCTGAAGGCATGAGGCTTAATGAAATAAGCTAGAATAAAAGGATAAATATTATATGATTTCATTTACATGAGGTACTGAGAGCAGTCAAATTCATAGTAGAATGGAAGTGGGTAGGGGATGGGAGGAACGGGCATAGGGCATTCTTGCTCAAAAGGGACAGGGCAATGTTTTTCAACCTTTTTTATCCCATGGCACACTTGAACTTATAGTTGAACTCCTGTGGCACACTTAAATGATGTTGATCAAAAAAGGAGTAAAAAAAGAATATACTTACTGTATTTTGAACTTGTTTTGAAAATTTAGTTAATGATCTTTAAAAATTTTCATGGCATACCTAAGATCCTTTTGCAGCGCACCAGTTGAAAAATCACTGGTATAGACTTTCAGTTTTGCAAATGAAGAGTTCTGGGGATGGGGTGCACAAGAAGGTGATGTATTTAATATTGCTTAACTGCATACTGAAAGGTGGGTAAAATACACATGAAATCATGTTAAGAATAATTTTAAAAAAGTAAACAGTGAAAATAAAGTGTGCTGTGCCTTGGCCAATTATTACTTTAGATTGACTAAAAGGCAGAGAATTTGATTTAGGGGCAGAATAAGAGAAGAAGACACCTTTCAAAAAATGAAGTGTTGGCTCGGCACCTGTGGCTCAAGTGGCTAAGGTGCCAGCCACATACACCTAAGGTAGCAGGTTCAAATGCAGCCCAGGCTGCCAAACGACAATGATGGCTGCAACCAAAAAATAGCCAGGTGTTGTGGCAGGTGCCTATGGTCCCAGCTACTTGCAAGGCAGAGGCAGGAGACT